TCAAATTTTGTACTTTGTTTTATTACCTTCAGAAAAAGATTCTCTACCATTTCATAAGAAAAAATAACAATTTTTTTTTTTTAAATTCTTGGACCCTGTGCGCACTTTGAAATTTGGCCTCTGGACCCTGAAGGGGTTAAGAGGCAGGGCCAGGATCTGAGAATCTACCCCTGCAACCACAAATAGCAGAGTACACAAGATAGTTGGATGCTCAAACAGATAGTACTCAAAAATCACCTTTGACCCCTACTTACAATCATTCCTGGAATGACTCCTATCCTCCTTCCTTCCACTTATTTATACTTTTATATGGGTGTAAGGCATGAGATTTGAATGCTACAGCAAGGAGGAGACTTGAGGTAGTGGAGATGTCATGTTTAAGAGCCTTGTGTGGGGAGAATTAAAATTGTAGAAATAAGATTGAATAGGACTTAAGAAATCGTAATGACACGATTGCAAATAAACCATACCCCCGGCCGGGATTGAACCCGCGGTCATTAGTCTCAAAACTCCAGCCCGTCGCGTTAGCCACTAGACCAGCTGGTCTAGTGGCTAACACGACGGGCTGGAGTTTTGAGACTCTATGACCGCGGGTTCAATCCCGGCCGGGGGTATGGTTTAAGATTGAATAGGATCACTAAGGGTATAATTTGTAAGACTGAGAAGGGGCTATTGGGATGTTTTGGGCATTTAGAGGATAGAAAGGGATAGGATGATGAAGGTATACAAGTCTAGAGTAGAAGAAAGGGAAGACACAGTCCTAGTAACAGTTAGGAGGAGGGAGTAAAACAGGGTTGGAGTGCTAAGGAATCCAAGCATCCCGCAGGCTTGAGCGAGCATGTTATACCGGAGTTCAGACAAATGGTTTTAATGCTTGACACGCTATTGGATTCTGGATAAAATAACATTTATGAAGGGATTCAGGCAAACCAGTTAGCCAGACTTGAGTCCTGGAGGTGGGAGGGGCAGTGCCTGCACTCCGAAGAGGGGTGGGGATGCTGCAGTCAGATGGCTATCTGAATTGTGGCATCAGTATGCCTCTGGAAAGACAGCGACTAAATAAGTGAATGTGAATGTGTTTCCTTTGTTACATCACTGTGCCTTGGCAAAAGATGGCCAGTGTAAAAAAATTGTTCATTGGAAATCATTATATGGCCATAATAACTTTTGCATTCAGTTACAGTACAACATATTCTACTAACACAGCCAGGTACAACAAGCATAGCTTTTTTTTTTTTTTTTTTCAACAAGTCGGCCGTCTCCCACCGAGGCAGGGTGACCCAAAAAAGAAAGAAAATCCCCAAAAAGAAAATGCTTTCATCATCATTCAACACTTTCACCACACTCACACATAATCACTGTTTTTGCAGAGGTGCTCAGAATACAACAGTCTAGAAGTATATACATATAAAGATACACAACATATCCCTCCAAACTGCCAATATTTATTTTATTTAAAAAGCAAAAAATCAGAAAAAAATATTTTTTACATTTGAATAAACAAATACGCTTGCTGTGCTGCAACTGTTAAGACAGCTATTAATTATCGTCACACTGTGCCAGGTAAACGATTTATCAATCACAAAATGCACAGATTTTCATTCATAGTTGAACTACTTCAAAAAGAAGAAATAATCCTCGACAGACCTACATCAAGATCATCAAAGATAATACACAAATAACCCCCCCACATAGGAGAGAGATGCTTACAACAATGTTTCAGTCTAACTTGGACTGAAGTCAAGTCAGACCAAAACGTTGTTATAAGTTTCTGTCTCCTATGTGCGGGTTATCTGAGTATTGTTCCAGTCAAGGTATTGAGCATTTTTGTTCTTATTGAGGATAACATTCATGTCAATCTACATCTACTAGAAAACTACACAAAACTATACTATTGTGATGTGTCTTAACCAATATATTAACAGAATTATATAAGTAAGCACATGAAAGACATTTGTAATGAATACTATTCAATCTATGATGATATTATTTTACGAGCTCAAAGCAATCTGATAATACTGACATTCAAACGCAGTTTAAATTTTGAAAACTATCTCCACTTTTATTACAATTTCTTTTTGAATGGTACTTTAATCCAGATTTGATTTTACTAAAAAAAAAAAAAAAATGATTCACATTATTTTTAAAATATTGAAAAGGTCAAAGGTTCAAATTATTCATTAATTTATTATATAATTATTGCAATTATTATTATTAGATTTAAGGAAAACTTTTTGCTTGGATAATACTGTATAAATGTAGTGCTATACTCGCATATACTTTATCTATATTTTCTTAAAATCTCAGGTTTCATAATAAAAATTTAGGTTCCACAATAAGTGTCTGGGGCCCAAGATTGTTCAACTGCCTCCCAGCTTACATAAGGGGGATTACTGTCTTCAAGAAGGCACTAGACAGGCACCTAAAGTCAGTACCTGACCAACCGGGCTGTGGTCCGTACGTCAGCTTGCGTGCAGCCAGCAGTAACAGCCTGGTTGATCAGACCCTGATCCATCATGAGGCTTGGTCTCAGACCGGGATACGGGGGTGTTGACCCCTGAAACCCTCTCCAGGTAAACCCCATAAGGTGTTTAGTAACTGGAGCGTCTGACCTAAGGCTTCTGCATTTTCATTTTTTACATATAATTCAGCATTAACAAACTATCCCTAACAATTCTGAAAAGCTTTTTTTTTTTTTTTTTTTTTTTAAATTTTCCCATTTCTGGATATTGATATTAAATTTTCACAAAAATTTTCAAATGCTTGTTATGTACTGTTCTGTATGTATACAGAAGATAAAAAAAAAAAAAATCAATGAACTGTAGAGAGTCTGGCCCTAATTAATTCGGATGAACTAGTTAACTGTATAAAAAATTAAATTATCAGTTTTAATTCAAGATTCAGAACATTATTGTATTATTGTATACATATATTAATAATTTGGTGGTTCATGGTTTCGAGTATGTATTTGCCCTATATGCATGCAAAGAATTGTAGCTACCCTCCCCTTCCTTGGATTAAAGCCATTTACCTACCATTTCCTAGATGCTGTAGGACCCCCTACAAGTTTAGAGCTTCTCAATGAACACTGTATAATAATAATTAACAAAATTAAATGTGAATCATGGTAGCATATATTTGAATTTTGTGCTAAAATTTCATGAGAAAATATCAGAATAGCAAATACGTAGTTCTTTTTGTAAAAGTACAACTTCATGTACAGATACTAAGTATTTCTACAGTACATGCAAATCCCATTCAAAGACTATGCATTCTGCATGTATGATATTCCTTAATAATACTTTTGTTTTCCTTTTTGGGCCACCCTACTTCAGTGGGTTACAGCTGGTTTGTTGAAAGGAGAAAATTCCATGATAATAGTGTACTAAGTACAGCACCTAAATTCTCAAATGTTAGTCTGTCTCAAAGCTAAGTTTAATTTGTACACAACATGTATGAAAATTTAGGATTTGAGGGCAATAAGTCAAGCTTCAACCAATACACAAGATCATAATAAATTCATGTGTACTGTATGGTATTTCAGTTTTGCATGGGAATCTTTTAAATTTTTACCAAAAGATGATATTTTATTATAAATATTTTTTAAGGCAAAATCATATTAATGCAAGATACACTATTTTCCTATATTATAATATTAGTAAGATTTTGAGTATACTAATGTGGTAGACTTCCCTGAATTTATTTCAACTTTAAACAGCTTAACTTCATTTCTTCATGAGCATATTTTTTGATGCCTCTATTTAAATCTGAAAGATGTACATTTAGAGAAATTAAACTTGTGAAATACTGGGTAGCAATGAGAATCATGAATCACTTTGGCACCCAGGGGTTTATCTTCTTTCTATACCATTCAAATGGACATATTAAATTCTTGTCCAAAATAGCAAGAAATACTTTATACTGATGAGATACTCATGCAACATTTGGGTATCTTTATTCTGGAAATGTTTTGCCAGTCAGTAGCTTCCTCAGTCCAATACAGAAGAGAATGGTGGAAGATGAGAAGGTGGTTGAGATAAGCAGTCCCTCAGCCTGAAGTCAATGTGTTTAGTCCATCAATCTTGATAAAAACACAGCATATGAATAGAGAAGGGGGCTTATATACCACAGATAGGTGAAGTGAAGCAATTGGAGACTGTCACTAGTGGAATATCTGTCAGATACAGTAACATTTGGAGATCTTGATACAAAAAAATTCTTCATTGCTAGCCTAACCTGAAGGCATATGCTGTACTTTTATAAAGATTGATGGACTGAACACATCAACACCAAGCTGAGGGACTGATTACCTCACACTCTTTCTCATCTTCCACTATTTCCCTCTGTACTGGATTGAGGAAGCCACTGGCTGACAAAATCTTTCCACTATTAAGATATCCAAATGTTGCACAAGTGTCTCATTCACCAACTTTTTGGTTTTCTAAAACATTTATAAATACTTTATACTACTATAGTAGAGTAATTGATTGTTTCATCACATTTTTGCCATGCAGTCACTCAACCAAATATATATTTGTTAGCAGCCTAATGAATACCTAGTCAGTATTACAAATAAAATATGATTACAATTTGTGATTGATCTCTACATTATATCTGAATGTACAAAACAGAAACATGAAAATAAGACTAAGCTGGCATTCATCTATAAAAAGCTGGCAGCTAATTATATTAATGTAAAAGCTGTTTTAATTGCTAGTTAAAACTAGGCATGCCATCAAAAATCTAAATGAAGTGACTAACCATATTTTAGTAAGATGTTATTATGCATGCAGTTCCATCTTAGTTACTTTGTTCTAAATGGGTCACCCCTCGCTGATAGCCAGGAACCGTAATTTATCTAGCACCAGTTTCTTATGGAAAACCCTTGACTTATCTTTAAAAGGACAAGTATCTTTAAATAAGAATTTTCACCTCTTTCACACACAAATACTTATGTACTGTATTAAGAAGAGAACAAATATGAAAATGTAGTATCCTACATGCTGTTGAGTGGCTCTGGGTTGAAGAAAAAGTGTCTGTCGAAGGCTCTCTGAACAAACTCGCAAACTTGTTTGTTGCCATCATCTGTGTAGTTCTGACGCACTTTACGAGAAACCTGCAATAGGTAAATGTTACATATTCAGGTTCACTTTGAATATTAGTTTAAAAATAAAAGATTTATCTATGAGATAAAATTCTAACCATTAAGTTGTGCACAGGAAGAATTCTTTACTCTGCTGCTACTGCCATTTTTTCATAAGATTGCAGTATATACAAACCATTATATAAAGATTAGTAAAAAAAAAATAATGACACATGTATGGTGTACTAAAGCAAATGGCTTCAGCGCTGATAATGAAGGATGGTATGATACAACACATAAAAAAGACAAGTGCAACGAAGAACTCTGTATCCTTTTCACTACTTGTTGTCTTTGTGCAATTTCTCTCCATGATATAACAGCACCAAACATTATTATTTACACATAAAATATGCAAAGTGTATTTTTCAAAAGGAAATATTCTTAATATTGCAGTGAGGTTGATTATTATTTTACATGTTTCACAGAATGGTCATCTGAGAAGCAGGTGGAAACTGAAAAACTATACGATGCTTTGCAGTGATACATCCGTCTATAGGTCCACATGTAAAGTTGAGAGATTTACACCCATTTCACTTTCTTTGTTCACAAAAACATAACATGCTCTATATACCATTGCTGTTATCAGGAGGGTGGGGGTTAGACAAATATACTTAACATTACCAATACAGAGATAGATAGTCAAATTTAACTTACTGAAAACCATATGAGGAATTTAACAAATATGAACCTGATTATATTTTGATAAAAGAATAAACTCTGAATTACTGCAATAAAAACTACATCCTTCATCATTTACTGTAGTTGATTCACAATGACTACCACTTTACAGAAAAATCTCAGCATAATTTTTAGAATATTCTGACAAAAAACATGTTTCTAATATTTAGTTATTAGAGATAAGGCTACTCAAGCAATTATAACACCTGATTTATAACATCATACCATTTTCATCAGTGTTTCTAATTCTTTATCACATGAATGGTTCATAAAGACATCGCAAATGGCCTCCATCAGCCAAGACCCTCGTTCTGGGTGACGAAATGACACAAAGCCTGTAAAGAACAACATAATGCAACATCAGAATTTCAGAAGAGAATATAAGAAGAAAATCTGGAATAAACAGTAATACAGCAGAGAGAGGCCAAAAAGGAACACTGGTTTGAGCTGTACATGTATCATTCTCAATAGGTAAGCAAAGAAATCAAACCAAACATTTACAATACTACAACAAAGGCAGATGTATAGATAAAGGAATATGAAAACAAAGATAAAAAAAAATATATTTGTTTTCATATTCTTTTATCTATACATCTGCCTTTATTGCAGTACTGTAAATGTTTGGGTTATGGTTTCTTTGTTTACCTATTGAGAATGATAATATTTCACAATACTGCAACAAAGGCAGATGTATAGATAAAAGAATATGAAACAAAGATTTTTTTTTTTAACAAGTTGGCTGTCTCCCACCGAGGCAGGGTGACCCAAAAAGAAAGAAAATCCCTAAAAAGAAAATACTTTCATCATCATTCAACACTTTACCTCACTCATACATAATCACTGTTTTTGCAGAGGTACCCAGAACACAACAGTTTAGAAGCATATACATATAAAGATACACAACATATCCCTCCAAACTACCAATATCCCAAACCCCTCCTTTAAAGTGCAGGCATTGTACTTCCCATTTCCAGTACCCAAGTCCGGCTATATAAAAATAACGAACTAGCCAGGTTGTAGGAATGGCTGCCGAAATCTTTTTAAGGTAGTAGGTTGGTAGACAGCAACCACCCAGGGAGGTACTACCATCCTGCCAAGCGAGTGTAAAACGAGAGCCTCTAATTGTTTTACATGATGGTAGGATTGCTGGTGTCTCTTGTCTGTCTCAAAAATATGCAAGATTACAGGTACGTCTTGCTACTTCTACTTACACTTAAGTCACACTACACATACATTTACACATTTATTTATACATACTCACCTGAATTTTCTTTGATTTTATCTTAATAGTTCTTGTTCTTATTACTTTTCCTTTTATATCCATGGGGAGGTGGAATAAGAATCCTTCCTCTGTAAGCCATGCATTTTGTAAAAGTCAACTAAAATCCCAGGAACAACTGGCTAGTAACTTTTTTTCCTGTACAGATTACTAAAAAGAAGAAGAAAACAAAGATATTGTATAGAAAATGACAAGGCTGATAAATAATATATCCCAAAATATTTAAGCTGCATGTCAGTTTTATTAACTTTCAATAGGCAAAACTAGCCTTTCTGATACTGTACCGAAAAAAAAAAGCAGCTCAAGAAGGTTTGAACTGAATGAAGCACATCTACACAACATAACATTTCTTATTTCTCTATATATACCTGAAATATAAGCTCTAAAAGATAATAGGATCCCAAACTAGTGGAAATTTGACATTTACAATACTGTATAACAAGTTAATTAGAGCATAAAAAATACTTCAAGCATAGCTATACTCTTAGTACTACAGAGGTAATCACAAATAAATAACTGTATAACCATCATCTGGATTACTATTTTTTTTTTTTTTGCATTATTACATTAATAAAATCTAATGTAAAATGTAGAGTTACTCTCTCATGCTTTTCACTATAAGTTTTAAGAATGCAGAGAAATGGCAGACTACCAGCAGTATGGTGAGTATGACATTGACTGTAGAAGAGCCTGAACTAGTAAAGGCTCCTTTTCAGTGTCACTCACAATAATTTCAAAATTATTCTCAAATACAAAGTGAGACAACCTTTCAAACCAAGAAGCTGCAATATTCCAGGTTTGTCCCAAGGTGAAATATTTCAATGTAATTTAAGAACTTTGATGAAATTTAGTATAGATGTTCTACCAGGAGAAACTTTTAAAAAGAATGCCAATTAGTTTCTATCGTTAAGTTGTCAAAAAAATGAAAATGTATTAATGGCTGGATTTAAATAATTTGATAATAATTTTATAATGCACACAACCATGTAATCTAGGTAGTAGGTTGGTAGACAGCAGCTGCCCAGGGAGGTACTACTGTCCTGCCAAGTGAATGTAAAACAAAAGCCTATAATTGTTTTGCATGATGGTAGGACTGCTGGTGTCTTTTTTCTGTTTTGTAAACTTGCAAGATTTCAGGTATGTCTTGTTACTTCTACTTACACTTAGGCCACACTGCACATACATGTAGAAGCATATATGTACACACCCCTCTGGGTTTTCATCTATTTCCTTACTAGTTCTTGTTCTTGATTCCTCTTATCTCCATGGGGAAGTGTAACAGAATTCTTCCTCCACGAGCCATGCGTGTCGTAAAAGGCAACTCAAATGCCGGGAGCAAGGGGCTAGTAACCCCATCTCCTGTATATATTACTAAAGTTAAAATAAATAGGTAGTAGGTTGGTAGACAGCATCCGCCCAGGGAGGTACTACTGTCCTGCCAAGTGAGTGTAAAACAAAAGCCTGTAATTGTTTTACATGATGGTAGGATTGCTGGTGTCCTTTTTTGTCTCATGAACATGCAAGATTTCAGGTATGTCTTGCTACTTCTACTTACACTTAGGTCACACTACACATACATGTACAAGCACATATATACACACCCCTTTGGGTTTTCTTCTATTTTCTTTCTAGTTCTTATTCTTGTTTATTTCGTCTTATCTCCATGGGGAAGTGGAACAGAATTCTTCCTCCGTAAGCCATGCGTGTTGTAAGAGGCGACTAAAATGCCGGGAGCAAGGGGCTAGTAACCTCTTCTCCTGTATATATTACTAAATGTAAAAGGAGAAACTTTCGTTTTTCCTTTTGGGCCACCCCGCCTCGGTGGGATACGGCCGGTGTGTTGAAAGAAAGAAAGAAAAAGAGAAACTTTTGTTTTTCTTTTTGGGCCACCCTGCCTTGGTGGGATACGGCCGATTTGTTTAAAGAAGAAGCCATGTACTATATATGACCATTTAAAAGTTGATTTTAAGAGCTATATTTTATATCACTTTTTATATATTTTATATATATTTTATATTTTTATATATTTTTATATCACTTTTGTGATAAAAGAGAAAAAGGTAGCTTATGAGAGGTTTTTACAAAGCAGAAGTGTTATAAGAAGAGCAGAGTATATGGAGAGTAAAAGAAAGGTAAAGAGAGTGGTGAGAGAGTGCAAAAGGAGAGCAGATGATAGAGTGGGAGAGGCACTGTCAATAAATTTTAATGAAAATAAGAAAAAATTTTGGAGTGAGTTAAACAAGTTAAGAAAGCCTAGGGAAAGTATGGATTTGTCAGTTAAAAACAGAGTAGGGGAGTTAGTAGATGGGGAGATGGAGGTATTAGGTAGATGGTGAGAATATTTTGAGGAACTTTTTAAATGTTAAGGAAGAAACAGAGGCAGTAATTTCATGCACTGGTCAGGGAGGTATACCATCTTTTAGGAGTGAAGAAGAGCAGAATGTAAGTGTGGGGGAGGTATGTGAGGCATTACGTAAAATGAAAGGGGGTAAAGCAGCTGGAACTGAAGGGATCATGACAGAAATGTTAAAAGCAGGGGGGATATAGTGTTGGGAGGTTGGTACTTTTGTTTAATAAATGTATGAAAGAGGGGAAGGTACCTAGGGATTGGTGGAGAGCATGTATAGTCCCTTTATATAAAGGGAAAGGGGACAAAAGAGACTGTAAAAATTATAGAGGAATAAGTTTACTGAGTATACCAGGAAAAATGTATGGTAGGGTTATAATTGAAAGAATTAGAGGTAAGACAGAATGTAGGATTGCAGATGAGCAAGGAGGTTTCAGAGTGGGTAGAGGATGTGTAGATCAAGTGTTTACATTAAAGCATATATGTGAACAGTATTTAGATAAAGGTAGGGAAGTTTTTATTGCATTTATGGATTTAGAAAAGGCATATGATAGAGTGGATAGAGGAGCAATGTGGCAGATGTTGCAAGTATATGGAATAGGTGGTAAGTTATTAAATGGTGTAAAGAGTTTTTATGACTATAGTGAGGCTCAGGTTAGGGTGTGTAGAAGAGAGAGAGACTACTTCCCAGTAAAAGTAGGTCTTAGACAGGGATGTGTAATGTCACCATGGTTGTTTAATATATTTATAGATGGGGTTGTAAAGGAAGTAAATGCTAGGGTGTTCGGGAGAGGGGTAGGATTAAATTTTGGGGAATCAAATTTAAAATGGGAATTGACACAGTTACTTTTTGCTGATGATACTGTGCTTATGGGAGATTCTAAAGAAAAATTGCAAAGGTTAGTGGATGAGTTTGGGAATGTGTGTAAAGGTAGAAAGTTGAAAGTGAACATAGAAAAGAGTAAGGTGATGAGGGTGTCAAATGATTTAGATAAAGAAAAATTGGATATCAAATTGGGGAGGAGTATGGAAGAAGTGAATGTTTTCAGATACTTGGGAGTTGAAGTGTCAGCGGATGGATTTATGAAGGATGAGGTTAATCATTAGAATTGATGAGGGAAAAAAGGTGAGTGGTGCGTTGAGGTATATGTGGAGTCAAAAAACGTTATCTATGGAGGCAAAGAAGGGAATGTATGAAAGAATAGTAGTACCAACACTCTTATATGGGTGTGAAGCTTGGGTGGTAAATGCAGCAGCGAGGAGACGGTTGGAGGCAGTGGAGATGTCCTGTTTAAGGGCAATGTGTGGTGTAAATATTATGCAGAAAATTCGGAGTGTGGAAATTAGGAAAAGGTGTGGAGTTAATAAAAGTATTAGTCAGAGGGCAGAAGAGGGGGTTGTTGAGGTGGTTTGGTCATTTAGAGAGAATGGATCAAAGTAGAATGACATGGAAAGCATATAAATCTATAGGGAAGGGAAGACGGGTAGGGGTCGTCCTCGAAAGGGTTGGAGAGAGGGGGTAAAGGTTTTGTGGGCAAGGGGCTTGGACTTCCAGCAAGCGTGCGTGAGCGTGTTAGATAGGAGTGAATGGAGATGAATGGTACTTGGGACCTGACGATCTGTTGCAGTGTGAGCAGGGTAATATTTAGTGAAGGGATTCAGGGAAACCGGTTATTTTCATATAGTCGGACTTGAGTCCTGGAAATGGGAAGTACAATGCCTGCACTTTAAAGGAGGGGTTTGGGATATTGGCAGTTTGGAGGGATATGTTGTGTATCTTTATATGTGTATGCTTCTAAACTGTTGTATTCTGAGCACCTCTGCAAAAACAGTGATAATGTGCGAGTGTGGTGAAAGTGTTGAATGATGATGAAAGTATTTTCTTTTTGGGGATTTTCTTTCTTTTTTGGGTCACCCTGCCTCGGTGGGAGACGGCCAACTTGTTGGAAAAAAAAAAAAAAATCTACTAATGAACATCTCTTGATATTCTAACTCTCACAAACCTCTCAGTGATTGTGAAGGAAAGTCTTATGTAAAACTTGAAGATAGCTAAAGTGTCTATTCATGTAAGAAGGTTTAGGTAAAAAAGAAAATTTAAATAACTGTTGAAGAATTCTAAATACTAGTTTAACTGAAGTAGATGGCACTCTTGTTTCCCCCCGAAAAAAAGAAACACAGTTTAACTTTTACCTTCAACGGTGGAGTAAACGATGTACATATCTGTGTAGGTTGCGTCTTTTTCCACAACAGTTTCACCAGCATTTGCTGCATCAGTCTGGACACTGAGACCACGTTCATAATTCACAGGGTAAGATGCTGGTGTTACACCAACATCTGGCACTGAGCCCCTGTTAATTTCTCCAATATTAGTTAGTAATTCATAATAATGTTACAGGAAATATGAATGCCATGCTCACATCTGCAGAAAATTCCTACTCCATATAACAAATTCTTGTTTTTTCCCCACCGAGGTAGTGTGACCCAAAAAAGAAGAATAACTTTCACCATTATTCACTCCATCACTGTCTTGCCAGAGGGGTGCTGATGTTACAGTTCAAAACTGCAAGTACCCCCCCCCCCCCTCCTCCAGGACTCAAGTCTAGCTAACAGGTTTCCCTGAATCCCTTCATGTACAGGAGGGCCCCGCTTTACGGCGTTCCGCTTTACGGCGTTCCGCTAATACGGACATTTCAAATTATGACCAAAACTCACTATACGGCTCCCCCCACCTGACTTTCTAATACGGTCACCGTGCCCCACCCTGTTTGTTTACATTCTCCATGAGCTCAGTAAGCACTAAGTCTCTCCATTTTGTCTGGAAACTCCAAAATTTCAAATGTTTTTAAAAGTTATTTCATATTTTATATATACTCTGTTTAATTATACTTATGTATACCTGTACCTAAATAAACTTACATACATCAAGTCATTTAAATGTCGTATATTACGTTAATATACACATTTTCATTAATCCATCCATGATATTTTTTTTCAAAATTATATAATAAACACGATGCATAACATATAAATAAGATAAATACACCCCACAGTAGAATAAATAAACATAAATGTGAGCTGTGTAGCAGACGACTTCCACAAGTGGTGATAATAACAATACTGAGTCTCATTAAATGTCGTATATTACGTTAATATACACATTTTCATTAATCCATCCATGATATTTTTTTCAAAATTATATAATAAACACTATACATAACATATAAATAAGATAAATACACCCCACAGTAGAATAAATAAACATAAATGTGATCTCTGGTAGCAGACGACTTCCACAAGTGACGCCATAATAACAATAGTCACGGAAGTCTCATTAAATGTCGTATATTACGGTAATATACACATTTTCATTAATCCATCCATGATATTTTTTTCAAAATTATATAATAAACACGATGCATAACATATAAATAAGATAAATACACCCCACAGTAGAATAAATAAACAAATGTGAGCTGTGTAGCAGACGACTTCCACAAGTGGTGATAATAACAATACTGAGTCTCATTAAATGTCGTATATTACGTTAATATACACATTTTCATTAATCCAGCCATGATATTTTTTTCAAAATTATATAATAAACACTATACATAACATATAAATAAGATAAATACACCCCACAGTAGAATAAATAAACATAAATGTGATCTCTGGTAGCAGACGACTTCCACAAGTGACGCCATAATAACAATAGTCACGGAGTCTCATTAAATGTCGTATATTACGGTAATATACACATTTTCATTAATCCAGCCATGATATTTTTTTCAAAATTATATAATAAACACTATACATAACATATAAATAAGATAAATACACCCCACAGTAGAATAAATAAACATAAATGTGATCTCTGGTAGCAGACGACTTCCACAAGTGACGCCATAATAACAATAGTCACGGAGTCTCATTAAATGTCGTATATTACGGTAATATACACATTTTCATTAATCCAGCCATGATATTTTTTTTCAAAATTATATAATAAACACGATACATAACATAAAAAGATGATAAATACACCCCACAATAGAATAAATAAACATAAATTTAAGATGTGGGACCCTGGTTTGTTTACTCTGTGCCTGGCCTGTCACCTCTCATGTATTCATTCTTTCTCTCTCTCATTTATTCGTTTTATCTCATTTACTTACTCCTGACCCTACATTAAGACTACAAATATTTTAAGGTAAGTAATGAGTGAACTGTATATACATTTTATCGCTCTGGGATGCTTAAATATCATAGAATAGTATGTGTGGGTGGGGTGGCCTGGTGAAATAGCCTGCCTATTACAATACATACCACACTTGATTTCTTACAATAAATACTACTTGTCTCACCCTAGATTAAGACTATAAATATTTTAAGGTAAGTAATGAGTGCACTATGTGTGTATTGTACCTTTTTATTGTTTTTTGATGCCTGGTTCTATTGCTAACTTAATATATGTTAGTGTAAACTTGTTATCTAGTGTTTGTATGCATTTATAAGTGGAAAAAAAGGGTGTTCCACTTTACGGCGATTTCCGCTTTACGGCGCTAGCCTGGAACCTAACCCGCCGTATAAGTGGGGCCTTCCTGTATGTTACCTTGCTCACACTCCAACAGCACATCAAGTCATAAAAAAAACATTTGCCTCCACTCCTCCTATCCAACACTCACACATGCCTGCTATATGTCCAAGCCCCTTGCACACAAAACCTCCTTTACTCTCTCCATTCAACCTTTCCTAGGGTGGCCCCTACCCTGCTTTCCCTCTGAGATACACTGACACCTCAGATGTAGATGAAAGATGTATACGTAGTTTAATCTAAACTCTTATCAGAAATTATGAAGCTAGAATAATCATAGCTTTTACCGAAAAATATTATAATTCTATCAAGCTAAACAACTTTTCTAAAAGTACACAAAGCAGCATACCTTAATCTCAAACAAAATTGTATTCCATCAACCATCCTATAAAGTCCTATAACTTTCAAAAGGGAAGCAAAGAACAGAAAGCAGATAAAAACAAAGTACACTTGAACAAGTGAGTGAGACATTTGTTTGCTGATGCTGGTTTACAAATATTCAAGCAACAGTTAGGAAACACACATAACTGTCCCTCTACATTAAAAAATATTTACCTGCAGTACTGGAATATGAATATCTTAGGCTTTTTTTGTAGAGCTGGGCATTCCTTATTACTGAACCTTTCCACCACATCATTCACAGTAAGATAGTTGTTATCAGAAGTGTAGAAAGACTTTTCATCACGACCATGACTCATAATAACCACTATACAGGAATCTACATTTTGCAAATCTTCAAGTGACCGAAACTCTCGTAAAGCACGTATCGTTTCCTGTAAATAAAATACAGTGTATTGAAGGTACTTATGTACTATATGTCTGTACATATATACAGTATATGTATATACATACAGTATATGCATGTATATATGTACAGTATATGTATGTACAGTATGTTTATGTACAGTGTGTGTGTGTGTGTGTGCGTGTATATGTGTGTGTATATATGTGTATATATGTGTATGTGTGTGTATATGTGTGTGTATGTGTGTGTGTATATGTGTGTGTATATGTGTATATATGCGTGTATGTGTATATATGTGTGTATGTGTGTATATGTATATGTGTGTGTGTGTATATATGTGTGTGTGTATATATGTGTGTGTGTATGTGTATGTATGTGTGTGTGTGTGTATGTGTGTGTGTGTATGTGTGTGTTTTGTACTCACCTAATTGTACTCACCTAATTGTGGTTGCAGGGGTCGAGACTCAGCTCCTGGCCCCGCCTCTTCACTGATCGCTACTGGATCCTCTCTCTCTCTGCTTCCTGAGCTTTGTCATACCTCTTCTTAAAACTATGTATGGTTCCTGCCTCCACTACTTCACTTGCTAGGCTATTCCACTTGCTGACAACTCTATGACTGAAGAAATACTTCCTAACGTCCCTGTGACTCGTCTGAGTCTTCAGCTTCCAGTTGTGACCCCTTGTCCCTGTGTCCCCTCTCTGGAACATCCTATCTCTGTCCACCTTGTCTATTCCCCGCAGTATCTTGTATGTCGTTATCATGTCTCCCCTGACCCTTCTGTCCTCCAGTGTCGTCAGTCCGATTTCCCTTAACCTTTCCTCGTACGACATTCCCTTGAGCTCTGGGACTAGCCTTGTTGCAAACCTTTGTACTTTCTCTAACTTCTTGACGTGCTTGACCAGGTGTGGGTTCCAGACTGGTGCTGCATACTCCAGTATGGGCCTAACATACACAGTGTACAGTGTCTTGAACGATTCCTTATTAAGGTATCGGAACGCTATTCTCAGGTTTGCCAGGCGCCCGTATGCTGCAGCGGTTATTTGGTTGATGTGTGCCTCCGGTGATGTGCTCGGTGTTATGGTCACCCCAAGGTCTTTCTCCCTGAGTGAGGTCTGTAGTCTTTGTCCACCTAGCCTATACTCTGTCTGCGGTCTTCTTTGCCCCTCCCCAATCTTCATGACTTTGCATTTGGCTGGATTGAATTCGAGAAGCCAGTTACTGGACCACATGTCCAGCCTCTCCAGGTCTCTTTGCAGTCCTGCCTCATCCTCGTCCGATTTAATTCTTCTCATCAACTTCACGTCATCTGCGAACAGGGACACTTCAGAGTCTATTCCTTCCATCATGTCGTTCACATATATCAAAAATAGCACTGGTCCTAGAACTGACCCCTGTGGGACCCCGCTCGTAACAGGCGCCCAGTGTGATACCTCTTCACGTACCATGACTCGTTGCTGCCTCCCTGTCAGGTATTCCCTTATCCATTGCAGTGCCCTTCCTTTTACGTGTGCCTGATCCTCCAGCTTCTGCACTAATCTCTTGTGGGGAACTGTGTCAAAGGCCTTCCTGCAGTCTAGGAAAACGCAATCTACCCAACCCTCTCTCTCATGTCTTACTTCTGTTACCTTGTCATAAAACTCCAGGAGGTTTGTGATACAAGATTTGCCTTCCATGAACCCATGCTTTTTTTCATTTATAATCTTGTTCCTTTCCAGGTGTTCGACCACTCTCCTCCTGATAATCTTCTCCATGACTTTGCACACAATACATGTCAGAGACACAGGTCTGTAGTTTAGTGCCTCGTTTCTGTTTCCTTTCTTAAATATGGGGACTACATTAGCTGTCTTCCATTTCTCAGGTAGTTGCCCAGTAGTTGCCCAGTATGTGTGTGTGTGTGTGTGTATATGTATATGTGTACGTGTATATGTGTACGTGTATATGTATATGTGTACGTGTATGTATATGTATATGTATATGTATATGTGTATGTGTATGTATATGTGTATGTATATGTGTATGTATATGTGTATGTATATGTGTATGTATATGTGTATGTATATGTGTATGTATATGTGTATGTATATGTATGTACATGTATGTACATGTATGTACATGTATGTATAGTAGTATGAATGCATGTATCTATGTGTATGTCCCTCCTCTCAAGTTGCCATTTGCCAGAAAAAAATTTTAAAATAACTGTTGAAGAATTCTAAATACATTTTAACTGAAGTGATGGCATCTTGTTTCCCCCCGAAAAAAAGAAAACACATTTAAACTTTTACTTCAAACGGGGGAGTAAACGATGTAATTCTGTGTAGGTTGCGTCTTTTTCCACAACATTTCACCAGTTTTGCTGCATCAGTCTGGCATGAGACCCGTTCATAATTCACAGGGAAAGATGCTGGGTTACCCAAACTCTGGCAGGGGCCCCTGTTATTTTCCAATAATAGTAGTAATTAAAAATGTTACAGGAAATATGAATGCCACCACTTGCAAAAAATTTCCTACTCCATATAAAAATTCTTGTTTTTTCCCCACCGGGGTAGTGTGACCCAAAAAAGAAGAAAATTTCCCCTTTATTCACTCCATCACTGTCTTGCCAAGGGGTCCGATGTTACAGTTAAAAAATGCAAGTACCCCCCCCCCCCCTCCTCCAGGACTAAAGTCTACAACGGGTTTTCCCCCTGAATCCCTTCATGTATTTACCTTGCTCACACTCCAACACACATAGTCATAAAAAAAAACATTTGCCTCCACTCCCTCCTATCCAACACTCACACTGCCTGCTATATGTCCAAGCCCCTTGCAACAAAACCCCCCTTTACTCTCTCCATTCAACCTTTTTTCCCTAGGGGGCCCCCTACCCTGCTTTCCCTCTGAGATAAAACTGACCCCTCAGTTTGTAGATGAAAGATGTATACGTAGTTTAATCAAAACCCTTTTATCAAAAAATTATGAAGCTAGAAAATCATAGCTTTTACCAAAAAATATTATAATTCTATCAAGCTAAACAACTTTCTAAAAGTACACAAAGCAGCATACCTTAATCTCAAAAAATTGTATTCCATCAACCATCCTAAAAAGTCCTATAACTTTCAAAAGGGAAGCAAAGAACAGAAAGCAGATAAAAACAAAGTACACTTGAACAAGTGAGTGAGACATTTGTTTGCTGATGCTGGTTTAAAAATATTCAAGCAACAGTTAGGAAACACACATAACTGCCCCCTCTACTTTAAAAAAATATTTACTGCAGTACTGGAATATAATATCTTAGGCTTTTTTTGTAGAGCTGGGCATTCCTTATTACTGAACCTTTCCACCACATCATTCACAGTAAGATAGTTGTTATCAAAAGTGTAGAAAGACTTTTCATCACGACCATGACTCATAATAACCACTATAAGGAATCTACATTTTGCAAATCTTCAAGTGACCGAAACTCTCGTAAAGCACGTATCGTTTCCTGTAAATAAAATACAGTGTATTGAAGGTACTTATGTACTATATGTCTTTTTGTACATATATACAGTATATGTATATACATACAGTATATGCATGTATACATGTACAGTATATGTATGTACAGTATGTTTATGTACATGTGTGGTGTGTCTGTGCATGTATATGTGTGTGTATATATGTGTATATATGTGTATGTGTGTGTATATGTGTGTGTATAGTGTGTATATGTTATATATGTGTGTATGTAGTATATATGTGTGTATGTGTGTTATGTATATATATGTGTGTGTATATATGTGTGTGTGTGTTATATATGTGTGTGTGTATGTATATATGTGTGTGTGTGTGTGTATGTGTGTGTGTGTGTATGTGTGTGTGTGTGTGTATGTGTGTTGTATGTGTGTGTGTATGTGTGTGTGTGTGTGTGTGTGTGTGTGTGTGTGTGTGTGTTGTGTGTATATATGTATATGTGTACGTGTATGTATATGTGTACGTGTATGTATATGTATATGTTAGTGTACGTGTATGTATATGTATATGTATATGTATGTGTATGTGTATGTGTATGTGTATGTATATGTGTATGTATATGTGTATGTATATGTGTATGTATATGTGTATGTATATGTATGTATATGTATGTACATGTATGTACATGTATGTACATGTATGTATATGTATGTATGAATGCATGTATCTATGTGTATGTCCCTCCTCTCAAGTTGCCATTTGCCAGTTTCACTCTCTTAGCCTTATAGGCCCTATTTATACTTATTCTTAAAACAATATATGGATTCTAACTCCACCATTTCTTGGTCAAGGTCATTCCACTTCAGTCTCAGACTGAGGAAATACTCCTGACATCCCTGTCACTCATCTAGCTGTGCCACCGAGTACCTGTTTCCTGCCTCTCACAGCCTATCCCTATCTGCCCTATAAATTTCCCTGAGTATTTTGTTTATTATATCTCCCCTGGTCCTTCTATCATCCAGGGTCATTTGGTTCAAATCTCTTTCACTCTTTGTATATCATGTCCCTTAGCTCTGGAACTAGCCTCATTGCTACTTCTGCACTTTCATCAGTTGCTTAACATGCTTCCTCAGGTGTGAGTTCCATATTGGTGCTGCATACTCCAAGATGGGCCTGATAATATGTTGTTATAAAGAAGCCTGAGTGACTTGTTGAGATTGCTGAAGGTCACTCAGTCTTTGCATTTAGTCTTTGGCTAGATGGTACCTACACACACACATGCAATGTGGGGATCTGGGGGTAATGTGCTAGTGAACTGAACTCCTTGATACTTGTGTGGGTCTACAAAGTTTTGTGTTATATCTTTTATATGATTATTTCAAGGAAGGGAAGGGAAGAGAACCTCCAATTCCTTGGCTCAAGAGTCCTTCACCAGCATCAAGACACCTTTTGGGCCTATGAAATGAGGTAAATCAAATATAAGGGGAAAGATGACAGCTGTAATGTTAAGGTCTGTGGAAAGGAGTTTATCAATACATATATAGAAAAGGATAATACTATATATCAGTATTATCACTTCTGTATGAGTGTGGGGCATGATTTTTTAATGTTGCAGTAAGGAGGAGACAGTAGACTTGTCATTTCTGAGAGCAGTGTGTCATGTGAATGTTGTGGCATGAAAGGTATAATTCAGTTTTAGGAGCTATCAAGTCTAGTCATTTAAAGAGGATTGAGCAACATTTTTTTTATTGTAACACACCAGCCATCTCCCATCAAGACAGGGCAACCCAAAAAAATAGGAACACTTTATGAAAACTTTTCTTTTTACATTTTTATACAAAAGGGGTTACTAGCCACTTGCTCCCAGCATTTGCCTCTTATGACACGCATGGCTTACGGAGGGATTCTTTTCCACTTTCTCCATGAAGATAAAGCAAGATAGGTTTATCTGGAAAGTTTATAAGTCTGAGGTAGCTGCAAGGTGTAGTTGATGTCCCACATTGCTGGAAAAAGGATATGGAGATTGTTTCAAGAGGTAGAGGATGCTTGATCATCCAGCAGGTATGTGTTTTACTACTAGGTAAGATTTAGAGTAGAAAACTGGTTTTGGGGACGTTACAGAGTCAAACTTAAACTCTGAGAAAGGGTAGCGTTATTCTTTGTTTGTTAAACAAATGAATGAACTTATATGACATTGATGATGTACTCTGAGCAGTTTGAAAAGCTTATGGTACTCTGTCTCATTTAAAACTAGTATAGCCTCTCCTCACTTAGCGACGTACTCGTTTACCGACGACTCGGACTCACGATGGGCTCTCTGACCAGTATGCATACCTAAATAATGTATACTAAAGCTGATTTCCTCTATTCTGATTAATACAGTACATTACTGTATAAACATTCAAAAATATGCCAGAAATGTTACAAATGGTGCAAAGGTGACATTAAAACAATATCAAAGATCGTTGACACAAACCCACTACCATTCTAGTATACTCCTCACTTAGCAACAAATTCATTTACCGACGTGGTCTTAGGAACACAACTCCATTGTTAAGTGAGGAGAGGCTGTAATTGTCACATCCACTAATTATGAGACTTCATCAAACTATACATCAGGTGGGGATAGAACCTGTGATCAGAGTCATAAAACTCCAAACTGATGTGCTAGCCACGGTCTGGAGTTTTACGTCTCTGATCACAGGTTTTATCCACACCCATGGTATGGTTTGTTTTCAATCATGTCATTATGATTTCCTAGAGTCATGAGACTATGATTAATTTCACATTATATATACTAAGTTAAGTTTAGTGTAAAATATGCATACTGTACTCACCATTTTATTCATATTCAGGTGTTGCTTTGGAATCTTATAACCCATTTGTGAAAATAGCAATGAAAGATTTTTTACATCAATTTCAGATCCTTCACGACTAGTATGCTGATTCTCTACAAAGTCCTTGTAATTTGCCATAAAAACCAGTCCCCGGGGCATGGTGAGATTCCTGTAGACCTGAAACAAGAAGAGAATCAGAGATGACTCAATTAATTGTTTATCTAAAATGCACAGATAAAATTTAAGTAATAAATTAGTTTCAATCCTCTTCTCTTTATCCTCCATTACAGCATAGTGGTTCATAGATTTTAATGTTGGAAACCTTGACATTGGCAGTCATATATATAAAACAAAGCAGAGGTGCATAAAATAAGCTGGCTGATCTGTGAAAATTACTGTACAAAGAAATGAATGTGCAATAAATTCACAGCTGCAGCATAAATATTTATATAGTATCCTAATGGCAGCTGATTTTTTGCAAAATATTTAAAATTCACTAAGCTGATTATTTTTTTAATTAATACATTGGCCGTTTCCCTCTGAGGCAGGGTGATCCAAAACCGAATATAAATACTTTCATCATCACTTGCTCACTCAGTGAGTAGCATGCAACCTGCCTACTGATCTCCCGTAAAAAATATAAAAAAATCAATGCATTCACATTGGGGTCTTTTACTTTATAGGTTCTAAGTTTGTTAAAACCCTGTAGAAAAAGCCACAGTAACCTCTCTAATTATCATTTTTAGGCATAAATAAGATGCTTGATTTACAGGGGCATTTTATCACAAGATTTTATGCATTATTACTTAGATAAAATAAAACGATCTTAAAATAGAAAAAATTTTTAAATTTTAATTTTTAAAAGGGCCTGGGGATAAACCTTTTCCCCCACAACCCCAGTCTCAGAAGAGGCCTTCTAACACGAAAAAACACATTGAAAATAAACATAAAAAAAACTTTTATACTAAATGAAAGTAAAAGTTTATAAGTTTTGACTGCATCAAAAATTTTTAAATGAAAACTGGTAGAATACAAAAAAAGGTTTCCATTGTAAAACCCCCCCGAAAGGGGGGAACAGTGGTCCCCCCCTTAAATGTTGTGTCTGCCATCCTAGGCCTGATATGAAATTTGGCATTTACACAAATGTGCTTAAAAGACAAGAAAATTTCCTACGGGTTTTGGAAATTTTGGGAAAATTTACTGTATTAAAATTTTAAAGAAAGAGGGGTGAAAAAGTTTGTAAAATAAGAAAAAAAAAAAGCATGGGGGAAGAGAAAATTAGATTTTTAAATTTGGGAAAGGGAAAAATGTGGGATGAAGAGACTGCATTTAAAAATGTACAAACTTAAAAAATGAATGAAACAAATATATTCAAAAGGGGTACAAAACTTTGCTTCCCCTTAGATGTCCCCCTTCCCCCCATCCTCAAACCCTTGGGACTTAATTTCTAGTTTCCTCCCCAATTTTCTTTCTCACCCCTAAATTGAAAATGGTCCGGATGGACGAAATGCCCATCCACTGTCCTTTTTGAATTTGTGAGTTTAACTGTGTCCGGGGGGGCGGCTCAAGTAGGGCAACTTTTTCTTGTCCCCTAAAAAGAAAAATGGACTATGCTTTTTCATCACAAAAAGTTTTAAAAATATATTGAAACAGTGAATTTGGGACACAGCTAACTAGATTTGCAGGGTATCCGTCAAACACTGAAATTTAAAATCAAACTTGCCAAAAAGGAAAAAAAAAGCGAATAAACAACTGTTGATAAATCCAAATGAAAGGCCACCACCCTTCCTGAAAAGGGAAAATCTTCTTATTTTCAAGGGTTTCTTTTTGGGTTACTATTCAGGGTCCCCATCATAACCCGGCATCTCAGTGTTCTGGCTGGAGGAAAAGGGAAAATGAAGGCGCTGACCCTGGCCGTTCCAATTTTTAAAAGTGGGGGCAAACGTTGCAGATCGCCCTAATACATCCAATCTCCACTGATAAGATAAAATTTAAAAGACCAAAAAACTTTAAAGAAATATATGTTCAGATTACCCTTTTTTCATGAAGCACAGTATAAACAGGCATTATACAAAAATTTAACCCCCCACAAAAAAGAGAAAAAGCTTACGACGACGTTCCGGTCCGATTTGGGAAACCTTTTACAAAATACTTTGTAAAGGGCCCAAAGTCGGACCCAAACGTCGTCATAAGCTTCTCCTTTTATGTGTGGGTTATTTGTGAAATCGTTCCGTCACAGTATTGTCCCTTTTTTTTTTTTTTTTTTAATAAACAGGCTTTGTAAAAGGGGAAACAAAAGGAAATTTTTTTTTTAAAAACAACAGCCCCTCTCCCACTAAGCTGGGGATGACCCCCCCAAAAGAGAGAGAAAAACCTTTCACCACTTTTTAACCTCAATTGCTGCTCAATTGCCCCTTTCCCCAAGCAGGTATTTCCCACCTCCAGATCTCAAGGGGGGTTTTTCCTATTTCTTTTCCCAAAAATTTTACCTGATCAAACTCAGTAGGCATTTTACAAAAACACCCATACCTCCTCTATTTTCGACCCCCACTTTAACTCACACCGGGCCCAAAGACCAAAACCTCCTTCCCTTTTTCCTTCCATCCCCCCTGATATGCCCCAAAAACCACTTCTTTCCCTGAACCACGGGTATACAACCCTCCAAGTGTTGTGTATTTTTAAACCCCCTCAAACTGTCCAAACAATCAAACGTTCCCCTCATGTAGCCCCGAATGTAATCTAGTTTGATTTTACATGCCCTTTTTTATGTAAAAAAAAAAAAAGTAGATCAAATTCGGGAAACAATGGGAATGAACAAGACTAGTTTGGGGCAGTTTTAAAGGGGTTTAAAAACTGTACTGCAAGAAGCAAAGAATAACTGAAGTAAATAAAAATAATGTAATTTTTTGTTTTCTATTTTAAAAAGTCTCATTAATTTTTTTATGGGTTGTTTAGTTCAGGGAATGATATTTTGGAAAAAAAAAAATATGGAAAGTTTTTTTAAACCCCAATTTGGGGGAGGAAAAGGGGGAAAAATTTCCCCCCAAAATTTTTTTACTTCCTTTTTCCTAAATGAAAAATTTTTATGTGAATCTTAAATTGAGAAAAATATTTGGGGCCCCCCCAAGGGGCCCAACCAAAAATTTTCCCTTGGAAAGGCCCCCGGGGGGAAAAAGAGAGGAAAGTTTTTCCCCCCCCAAATTGGGGGAGGCAAGGGTTTATGAATTTTTGGCCCCCCCAGGAGAAGGCTGGGGCAAGGGGGAGTCATTTTCTGAGGGCAATGTGTGGTGGAATATAATCCAAAAATTCGGGGTTTGGAAAATTAGGAGGAGGTTTCGGGGTTACCAAAAATGTTTTTCCAGAGGGCTGAGGAAGGGTTTTTTGAGGGGGGTTCGGACATGTAGAGAGAATGGGGGCGAAAACAGAATGACTTTCAGAGTGTATTATCGTAAATGGGGAAGGGGAAAAGGGGGTGGGGGTCGGCCCCAGGAAAGGTTGGAGAGAGGGGGGAAAGGGGGTTTTGTGTGGAGGGCTTGGACTTCCCCGCAGGGATGCTGACGTGTTTTGAAAAGTTTAATGGAGACAAAAGGTTTTTTTAAACTTGAAAGTGCTGTTGGAGTGTGACAAAGTAACATTTTTTAAGGGGTTCAGGGAAACCCCGGGAGGCCGGAAAATTGAATCCTGGAGATGGGAAGAAAAGTTCCCCGCACTCTGAAGGAGGGGTTTAATGGCAAATTTTTAAAAAATGTAGTGTAAAGCACCCATCTGGGGAAGACAAATGAAGGGGTGAAATGAAAGGGAAAAATTTTTCTTTTTCCGGGGCCCCCCTCCTTGGGGGAACGGCCCCGTGTGATAAAAAATAAAAAAAAAAATTTTGGGGAGGAAAATTTTGAAGGTAATTTTAGCCATTTTGGGAAAAATTTTCAGTCCTGACTTTTATAAGGTCCAGGGAAAAAACCAAAACAAACATAATGAATTAAACCCTTTTCCCAAAAACACACTAAGTAGTAAAGATGACATTACCTGAGACTACCCGTTTTTTAAATTTCCCCCATAGCTCACTGGATCAAGGGACCGCTACCCCGTTCACCCAGGGTCCAACTTATTAACACTTTCCCTAAGGGGGTTTTTAAAAAAGTTTTTCCCCTCCACGTGTCGAAGATTTCCAATAAGCATCTAATCTTTATAGTTTTGGGGGGTTTTTTTAAAATTCTGTAAAATGAAAGTTTAGAAGTGATTTTTTTTTTTTTTTCACACCCGGGCCCTTTTTCCCCCCAAGGGAAGGGGGACCTTGATACAAAAGAAAAAAACTTTCCCAAACCCTCATTCACTCCATCACTGTCCTTTTCCCAAAAACGCACCCACACTACAGTTATAAAAAATTTCAACTTATCAAAAACCGCTCCCCTTTAGAGTGGGGACACGTAATACCTACCTCCAGGGCTCAAGTCTGGCCTGCCCGTTTCCCCCGAATCCCTTCAGAAAAGTTACCCTTTTCCCACCCAACAGCACATCAATTTCTTTGGAGTGGAGCAAGTAACGAAAACCAAACCCTTTTATATACCCTTTTGAAGAGTTTCGAGAGTTTAAACTACTTTCGAAGTTAATCTAAAATTTTGAGAGTTTTAAAAAACTAAAAGGCCCCGGGTCATCTGTTTCTTGCCTGGTCAACCAGGCTGGTTTCCCGCTGGGGGCCTGCTTCCCCCCCCATATCCATCAATACCGGGTTTAACTGAAAACCTGGTGAAGATACTTGTCCAATTTCCCCCTTGAAGGCTTCCCACACTTTTTTTCCCGCCATGTTTTTTGATTCTTCTGGGAAAAATGTTTTTAATATCTGGGACCCCCGGATTTTGATACAGTGTTTCCCCCTTTTTTCCCCCCTGCATCCCCCCGCTCTTCAATGGGTTTTTTTTACACTTCCCACCAAAATTTTCACTCCAAATATGTTTTTGTCAGTTGCAGATTTGGGGCCAGGGGGCCCCCGATGGAAAAACACTCTCCTTAATTAAGAACCCTAAAAACCCCCCTCCTGGGTTTTTCACCCGAAAAAATTTACACTTTTATCTTCTAGTAGAAATTAAATTTCTGACTGACAAAATTTTAAAATATTTTTTTTACCAAAGTTCACCCCTAAATTTTTAAAGTTCTTATTTGAAATACAGTACAGCAGACCCAAACAGCTCAATATATTAACCATGAGTTCAAGCCCCGCCTGTGGTATGGTTTGTTTGCAATCATGTCATTCCGATTTCATAAGTCAGCTCAATATATTAGCAGTCTGGTCCTCAAG